GGGAGACTAATAATACATAAAATAATAACAAAAGACACGAGAACAAGTGACGAAAGAAACTCATTCCTGTCTTTCAATGACTGCTTATGTGCATTTAGGAGAACTAGGCAGCACACTCAGGGCTGCAAGATGGATTTATTTTAGTATTCTTATTATTAAAATATATCTGAATGAGGATCAAATGACTGAGTTGGTCTTTGAGAATGAAAACCAACCTGTTTGTTCCTGCAGATCTTCCTGTTTGACTGTGAATGTTTCTTCAATCTCCACATCTTCACTCTCCTCTTTAATAAACGCCATCTTTATAACAGTGTGGAGATCAGTCGCTTCAGCAGGAGTTTTTCTCTGCGTTTGGACACTTTATCCTGTTTAAAATGAACAAAACAATAAAAAAATGTCCTGTTTAAAATAAATAAAACACTGAACAAAAACAAGATAATTTCAACACTTGCTTCAACAGTTTTTTTTATATGAGTCATTAACAAACAGAAATTATGTAAGTCTGAGCAAGCAACAAAAGCCACAAATCAGCCGATGTAAACTAGAACTCTAGAAATTTTATTGACATATACTTGGAATAGAATGACATCATGCTATTTAATAAATTAAACCTTCACTAAAACACTTATCACACACTTTACTGTTGCTTTATTCAATCTTTTTTTAGGTATGTTCTTAATTGTTTAATTTGTTTGATTTATCTTATTGTCTGCTTACAGCAACGTTGTAGCACTTATTTGCACAAGACAAGAGTTTCCTCTCGGGACAAATAAAGTTTATCCTATCTTATTCAAACAATAGACCTTACAGTGAGTAAAATAGTAGTTCTTTGTATAAAGGGTTAAAATAATATTGTCAACAGCAGGTTCATCTAACATTAAATGAACACACTGAAATTTTAATCAGTTGGTTTACATCTGTGTACAAGCTTTAAAACAAACCTTTCTCCAGTTGTGGGAGCGGCGCAGCCTTATGACGTCACACCACCATGCCACAATAAAAGTCTTTTTTTTGTTTAGCTTTTTCCCCCTACTCACTCTTAATTATGAGTCATGACTTATCGATACATTTCTCCCTCATTTTCCACATTATAATTTATCTGCTTTTTGTTTTCTATTTGTAATGAATGGGGAAACATCAAATTTTTATATAAATTTATATACGTAATAGGTTGAAACTTATTTGGGCTACAGTCCATTTGTCAGGATAAAATCAATATTTATAACCAAAACAAACAAACAAACACATAACCAAATAGTTGTAAAGAAGCTTTTAAAATGACTGAAAAACTTAATACACTGTTGAACAATGCATGCACATGTTTAGATTTTACATTTTATAATGTTAGCATTCAGATATTATTTGAGTGTAAATTCAGAATGTGCAACTCACCTTTCCAGTCTTCAATGAAGAAGTGGGATGAGAAATGGCCTCAGTCGTTTTTTTTTTTTTTGTATGTTGTTGTTGGTAATAATCTCAATGTAGGAATCAACAATCGTAGTTTGTCCTCCAAAGTTGTTCTCTTATAGCTAAATAAGCCAATGAAGTTTCTGTTAAGAACGCAGAATATATAGATACGACCCTGCTGACCTACTTGATCTGGCATGTGATTGGTTAATACTCAATTGGCCCCCATTAATGCTGGTATAAAGATGCAAATGAGCAGTGGGCAACAGTGAAGACTCAAAACACATTACTGCGGAGGATGGGAAGTTTAGCAGCTATACAAACCATAGCTTTAAAGAGAAATAAAGATGTATTGGGAAAATAAGTTGACTTTTGATGGAAGCTTTTTTATTTTGGCTGCTGCATTTTATAGTTAAATGGGTGGTCCACTGCAATATCACATTTTAAACTTTAGTTGATGTGTAATGTAGCTGTGTAAACATAAACAACATCTCTGAATGTAAAAAGTTCAAAGTTCAATGCAAAGTGAGACCTTAAACAGCCGAAATACAGAACTTGATTTTAACTTGCACTGGGAAAAAATGTTTTAGAAAAAGCCACAATAAAAAAAGCAAACAGCAGTTTACACCGAGGGAAAAAAAGTTTTCATTATTAAAAATAAAATTATATGAAATGAATTGAAGTCATATGTTGTATGCATTTAGGTCAGTTTTAATGCATTAATGAAGGCTATTTAAAGCTGGACCGACCGACGCAATAAACATGTATGTCGCGTTTGTTTAATTTATTATGCATGCGAAGACTTATTCTAAACCAAATTTGTTGCAGGATTCTTTTTATGGGAACGAGAGATAAAGTGCTTATGAAGTGCTTTGTCGGCCTCTGGTGGTTAACTGATGCAGAGCCGACGTCTGGGTCTGGGAGACACATTACTGTGGATGATGAGAGGTTCAGTTGCTTTACAAACCAGTTTTTAAAGGAAAAATGTTGTATTGGGAAAATAAGTTGACTTTAGCCATCTTCATTTGTTTTGTTGCTGTTGTTTTATAGGACTATTGATTGAAGCTTTTTTATTGTAGCTGCTGCATTTTGTAGTTAATGTTGATACACCTATGTTGAGGTATTTTGATTTGAAACACATTTTAATTTTTTTTCCCAAGCCTGGTTAAAAGGTAATGCAAGAGTTGTGTGTTGTTTTTGTAGAAGTTTCTCAGAGTTGCTTGGCTGAAGTCTTTGTGTAAAGATGCAAATGAGCTTTGAAAACTCAATCCATACCGATGTCTCAATACACACAACTACATTCACTTATATAATAGTTATAGAAGATGTATACTATTATACTGTGATATATTATCATTCGTTGAAAGAAACAATTTATAAACTTCACATTGAGGTTTTATTTGTGTAAAGGTCAGTCAATATATTGACATGAGCTAACTACTAGCAGAGTTTTAGTCATTTATTTATTACTGAACTTGTTCTTTATGTGAGTTTAGACTCCTTTATTTATCTTAAAGCACATGCTGCTCATTACTGGCTTCTGGAAGACTGTAAACACTTTATGTTTATAAATTGTAACTATTAAAATGTAACTTGTTTCTGTGCCAATTTTGTTTTCTTTCCTTTTTTTTTAGTTGAACAGAACATGTGTGAGCAGCTCAGCTTTCCCGAAATCCTCTTATTCACCTGGTATGTATTAAAGATGTTTTTCTCTATTTATTACTTGTGTTTGTGCACACAAATATGCATAGACATTCACAGAAGCATATATAAGATACTCTGACAAAACCTTTTCCTTTTAACACAGTAAAGCGATCACATACTGTGATGCATCTAAATATTTATAATCAGAAAATAATTACATCACTAGTAAATTTATTGTATAGGCAGTTTATACAGAATAATTCAACGACAAGAGTTCACTTCCATATCTACACAATGCATAACTTTTAACGTGATTAACCTGCTCCACCTACACCAACTACAGCATTTCTCAGACTTCTTTTTTCACTATGGTGTAATTACAGTGGTGAACATCACATACAACAACAACTGCACTTACTCCTGTAACTTGTTTGCAACAGTGAATTTTAAATATCTGCGTCACATAGTCATTTAAATAAATGGATCATCATTGTGTGCGGTCATCTTTATTAATAGCTGCCTGATTATTAACTGAATAGGACCGTTTAACATATAAGAAACCCGTTGACAGGTATAGCTGTTCATGCCAATACCAACTTGATAGACTATTACATGAACATATTACATGAACAGGATTTGCCTAACATCTCTTAAGACAAATAAGCATAGTGTCTATAACAATACATGCTTGATTGCCCAGATCAATACAGTCGCTACATCTGAATGGTGCTTTTTCACACATTTTAAAAATAACAACTATTTGTAAGCAAAGTTCTTATCCAATACCCGTTTAATACCTCAAATAATTATACATGTGAGGCATCACAGTGGTGCAGTAGATAGCACTGATCGCCTCACAGTAAGAAGGTTGTTGGTTTGAGCCTCAGCTGGGTCAGTTGACATTTTTGTTTGTGTGTTCTCCCCATGTTCGCATGAGTTTCCTCCAGGTGCTCTGGTTTCCCCCAAGTCCACAGGAACTGTTGAACCATACAGTGGCTGTTTTTTGCCCCTGTATTCTCTTTATTTGCATTCAGCAGAAACAGTTTTGAAATTAGTAGAGGATGAGTAAATGACAGAATTGTAATTTTTATGTGAACTACCCTTTTAATGCTTATGTAAGTAAAGGTAAATTAAATATTACTACAGATATTGCTAAAGAATGGCAGGAAACGTGGAACACAGATAATAAGAGACAACAATTCATGTGAAAAAAGAAACCCTATATAGGCCTATGAAGTTGTAGAAATAAAAGAGGTCATACTTATGAGGATGAGATTTGGACTCAGATATTAATAGGAAAGTAATTTGTTGTAAACATACAAGTCATTATAAAGTGGATTAAAAAAAGTTAAGAAAATGTTTAGATTTAAGGTTTGTGAGAGAGAGAGCAGACAAAGTGTAAAGTGAAAACCATGGGAGAAATGTATCAATAAGTCATGACTGCAACAGATAGTGGCAAAAAAGTTCAACAAAAAAGACTTTTATTTTGCCGTGGCGTGTGACGTCATCAGGCAGCGCTGCTTCGTCGCTGTGATTCAACTGGAGAAAGGTTTGTTTTAAAACGTTTACAGATATAAACTGATTTAAAGTTAAAGTTCTAAAGTTTCAAGTTTTTTATACGATGCTATATTGTGTTCCTGCTGTTGGAAATATTATTTTAACCCTTTATACAACTATTTTAGTATTTAGTAATACTATTTTATTCTCAATAACTGAAGGCTGTTGTTTGAATAAAACAACAGAAAAGTGTATAATAAGTGTTTAAATTAAATGTTTCACCTGATTTCTTTTTGTTAATTACTCTCAAATAAAGAAACCATTGAAGCAAGTGTTGAAGAGAAATTATTTTGTTTCTGTTCATTGTTTTGTTCATTTTGAACTGGATTAAGTGTCCAAACACAGAGAGAAAAACTCCTGCTGAAGCGACTGATCTCCACACTGTTGTAAAGATGGCGTTTATTAAAGAGGAGAGTGAAGATGTGAAGATTGAAGAGACATTCACAGTCAAACAGGAAGATCTGCAGGAACAAACAGGTTGGCTTTCATACTGATATATTTTAATATTAAGAATAGGCTACTAAATTAAATCCATCTTGCAGCCCTGAGTGTGCTGCCTAGTTCTCCTAAACGCACAAAAGCAGTCATTGAAAGACAGGAATGAGTTTCTTTTGTCACTTGTTCTCGTGTCTTTTGTCATTCTTTTAATGTATTATTAGTCTCCCATTTTCTCTACCTTTTTAAGGTTATTGTTTTTCTTGTTCTCCTGCTGTTGGTAAAGCGTCCTTGAGCACTGGCGCTATATAAAATAAACAAAAACAATAAATTAAAGTTCAAATGAGCTGACGATATTTGACCTACAGTATTCTCATAGAAGATATCTGCTATTACGGTGATAGTGTTGACTTTTACTTTTCATTTGCATATGTCACGTTGATCAAAATTTTTTTATCAACTTTTTTATGGGTTTAAACTTGTTTCTAGTAGTTGTTACTAGTTCTCACAGATAGTATCTGAGTTAGAATTACATCATTATTATAATAGCTAATTACCAGGGCTATTGCTTTTAAACAGGGTTTCTGCGGTGCCTTAAATTCCAAAATCTAAATTTTCAATCTACAATCACCAACAACCCATCTCAATAAAACTTTTCATTCAAAAAGGTCTTTTTAATGGTTTAAATATTTACTTACAATAACATTTGTTTAAACGTGCTCCATTACTGCTGAGGACATCGACCTAGACAGATTGTTGTGCATATATTTTGTTTATTATAGGTTTTAAAACGTTTAAAGCATTTGTTCATTTATTTATTTATTAATTTTAAAGAAAGTTTACTTAGGAAAAAAAGTCTATGGATACAAGTAAAGCTTACTTGTTGCTACACAGAATTTTAAATCTTTTGCTAAAAAATATCTAAAATATAATTTTTAAAAATATCATTTATTATTGTATAATTAAATTATGATATTTTTTCATCGGGCAAAATAAAATCTTTTCATCTTAGCCATTTGAAAAATTCCTTAGCCTTTAGCCCTTTATGAGTCTAAAATTTCAGTCATAATGGTCTTAAAAAATCTTTAAAATTCTTAAATTTAACTTGGTGAAACCTGCAGAAACTCTTGTTTAAAGTATGTCAAAAAAACATGGATGCCCCCAATTTTAAACTTGATGAATGAAATTGACACTAAAATAATAAATTGTTCTAAAACATTGTACAGTATTCTTAACTATATGATGTTGCTGTGGGACGACGTGAAACAAAATGAACAAATTATAGTGAAACAATAACGCTTAGCATTGCACTGACTACAACTGACCAACAAACTAGTCTAAAAATGACTTTTTCTGCTTAAGAAATGGATTACAGCATGCTGATGATATGCAAACATTTGAGTGTAAAATTCTTCAGTATTGACCATATTCTTCATGTACCAGCAGGCGGCGACATTCAAATCCTTTTTGCTTGAGACTTAAAAAAAAAAAAAATAATTTTTAGATCCTAAAAACAGTGTTCTGCTGCTTAGGCATGTGACGACAACAGTTTACAAGGTATACTGCGGTTAGAAAAAAGTAGATTTTTTAAAACTGCCAAAATGTTCTGCTGTACCATTCCTTTGGTATATGTAAGTTTTTTTTTAAAGGTTTTGTTTTAAGTTTTTCAGGACAACAGTATCTTCAGCAAAAAAGATATCCAAAGATGCCGTTTTAAATCGTTAAGAAATCTGTGTTTTTGAAACTAATGCAGACAGTGTGTGACGTGTCTGAAGAGCTAGAAGTGATCCGGGGGTGAGAAAGGTGTGCAACTTATTTGAGGACCGGGAGGGAGACGTGCGATTTTTCACTCCTCGTTTTCACTCGTTTGCTCGTTAGGGTTAGGGTTAGTTTTTTAATTAAATTTAATTCACATTTCACATGATTTCTATGTGATTAGCTAACAGGTACATTTCTTCTGTCACTGTACCAAAATTTGAGGTCAAATGATTAGGATCCATATCTTTATTACATTTAGATGAAAATTGTCTAAAAATATTGGCCCAAAATCTATGTAATTTAGGGCATCCCCAGAACATATGACTGATCTGCTCGTTCCAAACCACATCTGGGACAAGATGAATCTGAGTCACATACAGAAGATGAGTGTACCAGTTCTATGGCATATTGCCAGGCTGTATCTGATATTTCTAGTCCCAGTTCGTCTTCCCATTTCTGATTTATATGGTTTAGGGAAGGAGAGGGCAGTTCTTTGGATCACTTCATATAACATGGAAATCATACCCCTTTGATATGGGTCCATATTTACCAATTCATCTATCCAGCATGCTTCTGGTTGGTTCAGTGAAGGACAGAAGTGTTTTTTAATGAAACTATGGACCTGAGGGTACCTAAAAGAATTAGACTGGGGAATCTCAATGTCTGTTCTTAACTGTTAAATGAGATAAATATGCCATCTTTAAACAGGTCTTTAACACAGTTAACTCCTTTCCTAAACCAAAATTGGACTGCTGAAATCTATAATCTTGGCAATACAAACAGACACAGTCTGAAATAGAAACAGAAATCTTGGTAGTATTATCAGTTTAATGGAATTGATCTTCCCAGCCAAAGATAAAGGAAAGGTTGACCAGTGCGTCATGTCTCGTTTGACTTTGTCTAACGTCATTTAAAATTATTATTAAACAAATCCTTATATTTACGTGTCACACTCACACCAAGATATACAAATTTATCAGGACTTGCTTCAAATGGAAAGGTTTGGGTAGACATTTGCTGTGCTCTATCATTGAAAGGGAAAAGGAAATTTTTTGCTAGATTGACTTTGTCTCAAGAAACATTTGCAAATTCTGAAATGATTGTAAGAGCTTTTGGAATACATGTATCTGGATTTGACAGAAAAAAGCAGATCATCCGCATATAGCAGAAACTTATGTTCTTGTCCCTCTCTGAAAATTCCTTGCAAGCCATCTGAGTTCCTTAAATTGGTTACAGGAGGTTTGATGACAACGTCAAAGAGCAGAGGGGACAGAGGGCAGCCCTGTCTCGTTCCTCTAGAGCAGGCATGTGCAAACTTGGTCCTGGAGGGCCAGTGTTCTGCAAAGTTTAGTTTCAACCCCAATCAGACACACCTGGACTAGCTAATCAAGCTTTTATGGCCCGTTTCCACTGAGTGGTTCGGTTTGGTACGCTTTTATGGCCATTTCCACTGTCAAAAGGCGTACCGAACCAAACCGTACCATACCACTTTTTTGGCACCCTTTCGAAAAGGTCCCAAACACTAAGGCCGTACTCACACTAGATACAGCTGCCTCGAACCGGGCCAAAGCGCTTGTCCCCCTCCCGTCTCCCCCGACGGCCCGCACTCACACCACAAACAGGCCTCGGCACACTTACGTCATCGCTGCTGCGCTGTTCAGTGAGAAGCGCTCTCTCACTCAACAGCACAGTGGAGATTTCTCTAGTTATATTGTTTCAGTCGTTAGTTATGCAGTGACATGCAGTCAAATATTTCGCCAAACAGTCCTTAGGAATGCGGTGACACGCAGTCAGATATTTCGCCAAACAGATTCGCCACTTTTGGCGCTCATAAACAATCATAAAGCTCTCGTGCTGCAGGAATGAGGAGGTCTGCTGAAGCCACGCAGCTGTCGTGCTTCGAGGAGTTCTCGTCTGTAATAAACTACGGCAGTTTGCGTTCACTGAACAGTAAGAATGATTAATAAATCCATATGAAACAGCCCCTTAAAAGTCACGTCTCGCTTTCAGTTTCGGGCTTTGGCGCGTTTTGCACTCACACACAAGCGTACCGTGCCAAAGCCCAAGTGACCCGCGCTAGGGCACACCTCTTCCAACCGGGCCAGGGCCGGCCAAGTGAACCGTGCTTGAGCCCGATTCACCGCACTCACACTTCTCAAACGATCCGGGAAACGGGCCTGGGCATGGTACGGATGGCATAGTGTGAGTAGGCCCTAAATGGCAGAGCTAGACGTGCAGCTGAACGCTATTGGTTTACAGAGATACATCATTCGTAGACACAAGCCAGAATCTTAACAAAGGACCCGCCATGTTTGAAATACACAGCGAGAGATTACAGCGGAATTATATACATATGCAGCCATGGTCGATCCGGGCTCAAACAAACCCTGTCGTCGTCTTGATAAACAGCCACAAAGCCATGGAGAAGAGCAGATTTACCCTGTGCAGCGTAGTTTTTTACGAGCCGATCTGAAGCTCGAGTGGTTTCGCTTTCTTCCTTACGCTCGCCACGCGTCTCTATTTGAAATAACAAACTTCTTGAGCTGATAATAATAACATGCGATTGATTATTGACAAGCTTTGGAAACCCGGTCCTGTGAGAAGCTGACAAACGCGGGACACATTCTGTGACACATTCAGAAAGAAAAGGACAAACGTTAAAATTCCTTCTTTTGTCAACTGATCTGAATCACAGAGGTATGGTAATTCTTAATAATTAAAAAAGCTCTCAATACATTCAATTTAGTTTACCTCAGAGTTGTAAAGAGTTTTATAGAAGTTTTTTAAATTGATCACTAATACCCTGTTGATCAGTAATAATACTACCATCATCCTTACTAACTGCTGCTATAACACCAGCTGCTGAGGATTGTTTCAGTTGGTAACACAATAACCTGCCAGCTTGTTCACCATGTTCATAATGAATCTGGCGTGATCTTATGTGGAGATCCTCAAGGAGTCATTCCGCTTGCAGAATAAGTATTTTCTTATGAAGCTCTTTCTGAAGATGATGTTGATTGTAGCTGATCAATTGTATTTTTTTTTAGATGCCATTGTCCATTGCCGATGGCCGACAAACTTCACGATGCTGAGCCGGCATCACGATCCATCGCCCCGTCCCACATTTATATTGATATATAACTTAATATTTGCATTTCATCTTAATAGCAATAACAGTCTTTTCATGAGCTGTGTTAAATGTTACATATAGCTGCACTGTTACCTGCAGACTTGAAGCCACTAGAAGTCTTTTATCCACTCTTGTAAAAGTGTAAATGGTGGATTAACATTCAGCACATGATCACTAATAAGATGCGCCGTTATTAATATCTTTAGGTAAATCTGTATGTTATTTTCATTCTCTCATCTTCAGCGCTTCACATTTTCGCAGTTGTAGCTCCTGTCATCTGAAGGCAGAAGGCATTGACTGAGTGATTGACAGCTGATATTAACCAATCATTTACATTCAGTTGTAGCGCAGTGAGCCAATAAATAGAGCAGAAAGGCAGGGAAAGCATTGCAGACTTTTTTACATCAAGTTCACATAACAACTGTTTTAATCTGTTCCTGGTGCTGCGTTTGACGTTTTTAGGTGCAAAGATGCTTTCTGCATAAATGTCTCCTAAATCTGCGCACACGCAGTGAGGATTTTACAGTGAAAACAATGAAAATGTATGCACTACACTGAACTCAAACCGAACTCTCGTGTTCTCAACCAGCTGTGGGAAAAGCCATTGTAATGACACAGATCACTGTGCCATGCCCGTAGCCAGGGGGTTTCGGGTTGTTCGAACGAACCACCCCCCATGGCCCCCATGTAATTTAATTTAATATTATATAATACATATTGTAATTATTTATATTTAACATATATATTGTAATAAAGTGTAATTTTATATAACTTTGGCCAGTAATTAGAATCCCATTGAGCCTCAAAGCCACAATAAAGTGACGCGAGTCTTGTGACATAACCCACTGAGTGGTAACTCTTGAATCTTTGATGTGACATCCTCCTTTGATACCTTAAACATTTGCTCTCTTCTCTTGAGCCCCTTTCACACATGCAGACCTTTCCGGAAAATTACCGGCAATTTTCCGGAAAGGTTGTATGTGTGAACAGGTCCTTTTTGAAAATACCGGTAAATTCGTTCTGGCTATTTTCCGGAAAGAGAAGTTGTAACATTCCCGGTAATTTGCCGGAATGCTGCGCTGTGTGAATGCAGAAGGAAGATTGCCGGAAAGAGCGCGTACACGTATAGAACATGCTGACGTGAGACGTCTGCTTGAGCCAATCAGAACAGTCAGACGCGTTTATTTCCGCGCGGTTTATGAGAATAAAAGCCTTTGAATATTTTCCCAGACGCATTTAGCTGCTAGAAGTTAGTCAGATAATGTTTATATGTTCTTCTTAATGCCAACTGTGTAAATAATCATCGATGAGATGCTTATGATAAGCCGCCGTTTGTTTACCTTCACGCTTAGCGTGTGCCTGTGAAACAGCCTGTGAGCGCCAGCACACGCACATATTATGAACATCTCGACATGCCAAAGTGATCCTCCATATGTTTTCTTCGAAGTTGTTCACAATACTGATCATCCACAGAGTTTGTAATGTAGTCAAATGTTTACAAATACAAGCGCAACCGTTTAAGGCTCATTTGTGGTAAATGATGTCAGAATTTACTGGTATTTTGGAATGGATTTGTGAAAGGTCTTTTCTGGAAATTTTCCGTAACGTCCTCGCCTGTGTGAACAGCGCTTTTTTGAATATACCGGTAAAGTCGTTCCGGAAATTTTCCGCATATTTACCGGTATAACTGTGTGAAAAGGGCTTTGATCTGTGTTACAGATTATCTCTTGTCATCTAGTTTTATATGCAGTCACAGGAGCTCTCGTTTGCCTTTTTTTCTGTTTATACCACATCATTCCCCTTCATGTTTGTTAGTATGTTATCGATCATTTCTGTGCATATTATTTTGTTACTCACCCTGTATGTTTCCAAGACCACCAGTGAGTGAGTGTCTGGTTGTTTTTTCCTATGGCACTTCCTCAGCGCTCACCCGACCGGGTGTTTACTTTGACTTTTGCTTTTTCCAAGACTCGCTTCTCAATAAAGACTTGCATTTGAGCTCACTCTTTTTTTAACTCGTGACACAAGTATTTTCTTTCTCATTTGTGTTTAAAGGTCTTTAGATTTTGGCATGATGTCTAGCTTTGAGGCTTTTTTTGGTCTACTTCACTTTGTCAGACAGGTCCTATTTTGGTGATTTCTTGATTGCGAACGTGTGGTAGTATTCAGGTCTGGGTGTGGCTAGAGAACTTGAAGCAGGTGTGATAAATTAAAGTTGTTCTAATGGGAATTTTTTTTTCACACAAGTCTGTGTAGTTCAGTATTTTGTCTTCAATTTAAGAATAAAAACTTGATTTAAAAACTGCACAATGTGTTTAATTGTGTTATCTTTGACTAATATTTACATTTGTTTGATGATCTGAAACAGTTAAGTGTTAGATTTCTGCATTGCATTTGTTACATACAGATTACATACCTCTAGAACATTTCTCATTTAAAGGTGCAGATTTAAAGCTTTATGCAGATATTATACATAATATTATACATGTTTCATATGTCTATAAGGCAAATATTAGCAGAGATTCAGCTGTTTTTCTAACAGGTTTACCTGTCAGGCACAGAATGAAAAAGCATTCCATATCTGCTTTACAAGTTTTACAAAAACAAATTGTTTTGTTGTGATTACGAATATATACAAATAGAAACTGGCCATTTACAGCTTTCAAATTTATGTCTCATCAATATGACCAAAATTAATCAAGGAATAATCATATAAGAATCTGCTTAAATGTGTATCTGTGTAATGGACAGGAGGTAAATATGACAAGATCAATCTAAATATGATCTGCTTTGTCTTTACATTTAATGTGCATCAAAATTAAGATTTGTGTAGCCAATGTTTTCACTTCCTTTTCACTGAGTTTTAATGATTTACTAAAAAGTAAACTTATTTCTATTTCAGACCTAATTAAAGACTACGAGGAGAGTAAAGAGGAGGAACATCATGTCAAAATTGAGGACAAAACTCATTTAGAGACTGATGGTGTGTTAAATGTGAGAGACAAGAGTTGTTTTACCTGCACTAAGTGTGGAAAGAGTTTGGCAAGCAAAAGCAAACTAAAGACTCACATGAGGATCCACACTGGAGAGAAACCATTCACATGCACTCAGTGTGGGAAGAGTTTCAGCCACTCATCATCTCTTAATCAACACATGAGAATCCACACTGGAGAGAAACCATTCACATGCACTCAGTGTGGGAAGAGTTTCAGCCACTCATCATCTCTTAATCAACACATGAGAATCCACACGGGAGAGAAACCATTCTCATGCACTCAGTGTGGGAAGAGTTTTAGCAAATCATCGTCGCTTTATAAACACATGAAGATCCACACCGGAGGAAAACCATTCACATGCACTCATTGTGGGAAGAGTTTCAACCACTCATCATTCCTTAATCTACACATGAGGATCCACACTGGAGAGAAACCATTAACATGCCCTCAGTGTGGGAAGAGTTTTAGCAAATCATCGTCGCTTTATAAACACATGAAGATCCACATCGGAGAAAAACCATTCACATGCACTCAGTGTGGGAAGAGTTTCTACGATTCATCATACCTCAAAAAACACATGAGGATCCACACTGGAGAGAAACCATTCACATGCGCTCAGTGTGGGAAGAGTTTTAACTGCTCATCACACCTTAAAAAGCACATGATGATCCACACTGGAGAAAAACCCTTCACATGCACTCAGTGTGGGAAGAGTTTCAGCAAATCTTCGTCGCTTTATAGACATATGAGGATCCATACCGGAGAAAAACCATTCACTTGCACTCAGTGTGGGAAGAGTTTCAGCCACTCATCATCCCTTAATCAACACATCATGATCCACACTGGAGAGAAACCATTCACATGCCCTCAGTGTGGGAAGAGTTTCATCCACTCATCAAATCTTAATCTACACATGAGGATCCACACTGGAGAGAAACCATTTACATGCTCTCAATGTGGGAAAAGTTTCAGCACATCATCACACCTTAAACAACACATGAAAATCCACACTGGTGTGAGAGAGTATATGTGCTTGGAGTGTGAGAAGACTTTTATTACAGCTGCAGTATTGAAACGGCACCAGAGGATTCACACTGGAGATAAACCGTACAAGTGTTCACATTGCAGTAAGAGGTTTACTCGCTCAGGAACCCTGAAAACACATGAGAGGATTCACGCTGGAGATAAACTGTAGACATGATCAGTGTGTTCTAGGGTTTGTTACCGAAACCCGGTGCCATTATAGCACCGGTACCATGGTAACCGGTATGCACCGGTATTAAATCAGCGTATGAATTTCGGTGCTGCGGCATGGACGTGAGGGTTGCATGAAAAAAGGCACATATAGGTGTTGTCACAGCATCACTAAACATTTAATATTCAACTCGTTTAGTTTTGACTTCATTCATTTTTGATTTCTGTCTTGAACACATGATTTATTTACAACACATTTTTAAACACAATAGTTTAACTGACTCGTTTCTAATATCTAACGCTACTTTTTTATGCTGACAGTCAGTGCAGAACATTTTACTAGTTATTTTGCAAGACAGTATTCAGACAAAGTCTTTTTAAGTATTTTATAGTCTTTTATTTAGATTAAAGTGTAATTTAGACTTATCAGTTCACTACGAAAGTTAAAATAATTAGTCAAATTATTTTGTAACTGATTTGTTGTGTAAATCAAAAATATATAGTAAATATTTCTTAAGGAGGCTAATAATACTGACCTTATTTTTATTTATTTATTTTTATTACAAACGGCTTTTATTCATGAAATAAACAATAAGAAATAGGACTTATTATGACTCCAGAATATTTATGTTTTAGGAAACACTAAAAGTTTTCAAAAACATTATTTTAAATGAATGGGAGGGCAAAATGAATCGACTTCAACTGTAGGCCTGTTAAAGTTTACAGGTGCGCAATGTGCCTTGATCTACTTGAATGTTAGAAATGTGTTCTCCTACACCAGTACAATGTTACTTGTCAAATAAATGAACAAGGAAGATTATTTTGAGTCTAAGTTATTTAATTATCTTGTTTATGAAGACTGCAGAGTGATGGATGAAAACAAATGACTTCCAATAATGTTTTAAGTATTTTGTGATATACATGTTAAAATGTGCTCCTAAAAGTATGTGGCCCCTGCCCGCCCCCCACAGGTTAATAGTAAGCTAATGTAATTTCATAATGCAAATTTTAAATTCATGCTAACCAACAAATGATCAAATGAAATGTATTAATGTAATACAATATGAATTGATGTTTACTTTAAACTGTAATTATATTGTTCTATTAAAATTATTTTGAAAAAAATCATTTGTCAAATAAAATATTTTTGAAGAGTCGTCCACCATCATTTTGTGGCTAAAAAGTGTTGATTCAGGCACCGTTTTGGCACCGGTATCGTTTTAAAAGTATCAATTTAGCACCGGTATCGAAAAACCAAACGATACCCAAACCTAGAGTTTCACTCATTCGGGGCAGCTTAAGAAGCTGAGAAAGAGAGCTCCTATACACACTGGTATTAATCTTCCTTTTTACGTCATATATGATAACCTAAACCATATTTAAATAACAATAGGCACGGCAAGGAAGGGCTTTTTAGAGAAGGAAGGCTTTCCCCTCACATTAAGAAGTTATTTAAGACTTCAAGGTTTGGAGATCTTTTTCGTAATGTTTTTTTATGTGGTTAAAGATATTCATGTTTGTGTTTTTCATGTTCCGATCACAGTGATCTTCGCAAAAACATCTGATTATGCAAAAACAGAAATATAGAGTAATTACTTTGAATATTAATGGGTTACTAAATCCGATTAAAAGAAGCAAACCTGTGGCTAAAATTAAAAGAGAAAACCAACAGATAATCTTCTGGCAAGAGACGCATCTTTCTGATACAGAACATAGGAAATCAGAAACAATGGGATTTAGGTTTTTTTTTTTCCTCAAATAATATTGGTCGTAAACGAGGAGTAATGACATTAATCTCAAATAAAATCAACTTCCAATTAATTTCTAAGATTACTGATAAAGAAGGGCGATATAACCTAATTAAAGAAACTATCGACCAATACAAAGTTACATTAGTTAGTATATATAGACCACCTGAAAAAGACAAAGCATTTCTCAAAAAAATATTAAGTGTTATAGCCAAGGAGACATTAGGTACGTTGATCTGTGGGGGAGACTGGAATGTACAACTTCAGCCTAAATTGGACTCATCTTCTAATAAGCAAATTAGTCAAGAAACTAGACAAATAAGATATTTGATGAAATAATTAGGCTCGATAGATGTATGAAGAGACATATACCCTCTTAAAAAAAGAATATACTTTCTTCTCTTCTGCCCACATGTCTCATTCTAGAATTGTTTTTTTTTTGTTTTTTTATGTTTGGGTCAGATCAACATAAAATAAAAGACTAAAATTGGAACAAGGGACATCTCAGACCATGCAGGAGTATGTTTAAGAGTGTACCTGGACAATAAACCAAGTAAGACATTTTGGCAATTTAAACAATCATTTGAATGATTTAACGTGTGTAGAATATGTTTAAAAAGAACTATTAGAATATTTAAAACATTATAATAATAATGCAGAGGTGTTACCTAGTACCGATGGGACGCAGCTAAAGCTGTTATGCATGGTAAACTTATAATGTGGGGATCAAGAAAAAAATGGAATTGCATAAATAATCTAAATATACAACTTGAAGATTTAGAGACTAAATATGGTAAATATCCAGATATTTTTAATAATATCAAAGAAGTTAAAGTGGAACTCAATAAAATATTTGAGGGCGTGTCGGAATCCATACTTGCTAATTTAAGGATGGGAAAATCCGTTTTTGCGCCATGGCGCATGGTCTAAAAGGGTTGATTTTATTTTCTTAATGAGTTATTGGTGTGTTTTGAGAATAAACCAATCAGCGACTCATCTCCCATTACCTTTAAGAGCCAGTTGCGTCGCGTCATGAGCGCATTTGCTCTTTACATGACGTTAAGTAAGTTCACTTTCGCTTTTGCTCTCGTGGATAGGGAAACCTTTACGCTCAGACATCAATTAGCCTATAAATAATTAATTTTGTTTGTTAAGCGCAAAAATTTGTTTTAAAACTATTTCTAAATTCAGTTCTAATTTCCAGCAAACGAATAAATTAACATTGATAATCAAGTGTGTTCAAAAAACTGAGTTATTTCCAAATACACCTGCTGTGCCCCATACGACCTAAAACCTGACAGGTGGACAAATCTAAGCTTGTTTTTAATCAAACAAATATAAATATGGATATAATAAATAATACTGCTAATAATAATAACATTATACAAAAGCAAATTAAATGAACTGAAAAAGCCTCTCGAGATGAAGAAAGGCTGAAGGCAGTGGTTTTTAAAATATATGTAGGCTAGAAATTAATATGTTTTGTAATAATTTAATCATTTATATTTATATCCTATATATATATATCCTTAATATCTTTTTCATATGTAATGATATTTGCGTATTGGTCTGCATCTTGTGTGTAGTGTGTAAGCCAGGCACACTTTGCGCCAAACAATAGACCAACTTTGTTCTGGTCTAAAGAACAGACTATTTACAGTTTCTCAAAATAGCAACGCGCCAAAACACGCCTGCTTTTTTAGACCAGAATGCCTATAGGCGCACATACGAGCACAAATGCATTTGCTATTTAAACAGTTTGGCGCAATGCCTCAAAATGACCCTTGCGCCGAGGTGAAAGTAGCAAATAGCAATTGCTTGGCGTCTTGTGCCACATTACGCCGGGAGTATGATAGGGCCCTATGCATCTATATTAGCTAAACGATTATAGGATATTCTTTCAGACCTAATAGATACTTATCAAACAGGTTTTATAAAACAAAGACAAACATGAAAATATATGGCGAGCCCTTCACGTAATAGATGATATAGCTCAAAACAAGATTAGCACTCTTCTAAGTAGCCTAGACGCAGAAGAAGCTTTCGATTCGATGAGTTGGGATTTTTTATATTTAGTTCTGCAACGATTTGGATCTGAGAATGACACTATACATTTTTTAAATCTTTATATTAAACTCCTACAGCTAGAATTAAAATAACTGTGGATATTTTCAGAACATATTATATTAGAGGATGTCGACAAGGGTGCCCATTAAGTCCTTCCTTATTTGCATTATTTGTTATACCATTGGCACAACTAATCAGAGATTATGCAGAAATAAGGGGAGTAAAAATTAAAGATGTAGAACATAAAATTTGTTTATATGCTGATGATGTGTTTCTGTTTCTTACATACCTAGAATTTAGTTCACCTAAGGTGATGCATTCTCTTGACAAATTTGGATTACATTCAGGATATAGATTAAATTTACTTAAAACACAAACTCTTTAATGCAACTATAACCCAGATGATAAAATACACAAGGATTATGCATTTAAATGGAACATACCTTCTATCAGATATCTTGGGAGTTCAAATCTCTGCAGACCTATCAGATATCTATACAAATAAATGACTTTCCCATTACAGAAACTATAATAAAGCATTTGAACAGATGGCCCTTTCTATCTTTAGATCTATATAATCGAATAGAGATAATAAAGATGAATATATTATCATGCCCACTTTTTCTCTTTAAAGCTTTACCAGTGGAGAAACCAAAAAGCCAATTTGATGAATGGAAAAAACTAGTGTCTCGCTTCATTTGGAACGGAAAACATCATTAGATGTTTATTGTAAGGCAGCACAGCTTAGACACAGTTTGTTGGTGCAATGACAAATACTGTGCAAAGTGGAAAGAATTTGAACAATTACTAATCCACTATCTCCAATAATTATTAGGAGATAGAAACTTCTAACATACAGAATTGCATAAATTGAATTCCCTGACAAAGAGCTCTTTAGAAATTTGGTACAAAGAATTAAAGAATCCTAAATGTGAAAAACAAGCTAAGATATTAAGAGGGGTTGAACATGATACTCAATTTAAACCAGCAAAACTAGATCTAAGATTTAAACAATGGAGTTTGTAGGCCATAACATCCTTCTGTCTCAACACTACTGATAATGAATTAGAAAGTTTTCAACAACTTTCCAATATATATAACTTAGATAAACAAGACTTTTTCCGTTACCTTCAAGTTAGACACTACTTCAATAAAAGCATAAGAGATTCAGAAGACATAAAAACAACAGTAGTGCAGGTATTTATAGATGCTTACAAAAAGAAGGTTAATAAAAAAGCTAGTATCAAGACTTTATTCCTGTCTGACATTAACAAAGAAACACTCAATAATGTATACAAAACATAAATGGGAAAGGGTAGCCAAATTAATACTAACAAATGAGGCATGGTTAACTCTTTGGGAAACACAAATGATCACAATTAATTCCGATTAATGGAGGGGATTTATTTGGAGAAATGTTATCAGGTTTTTTATATCACCTAAAATAAAATACTTTCAAAGGGGAGATCAAAAAATGGTGAATGCTGGAGAAAATGTGAAATTGTATTGGCAGATCATGTCCACATATTTAGGGACTGTAATATACAAAAGATTTAAATAAAGAGATAAATGCAATAATGAGATTGAATCTGGTATGTAATTTTAAAA